GCTATGCTAACAGTGTCAACGTCTTTTAACCAGGTCTCAGTCACAATACACACATCAATATCGTTGCTCAAAACATGATCAACGATTTCGGCTGTTTTGTTTTTAAGAGATCTCGCATTAACATTGTCGAAACGTAGGAATTTTGTATGAGAATCTGAATTTAAGTTAGTTCTATGTACAGACACGCAGACACAGTTTAAAGGGTTATGAGTACGAGCACGGTGACAACGACCATTACGCGGATGTCTATCAGTACTCAATATCCTGTTGTTTGTACTGACATCAATGAAGGAGGGTATGGAAAAGGTTGGGATGTGGGGTGGTATATTGGGGATCAAAATGGAGGGAAATAATAGGGATTCACAGGAAAAGGGGAGTAATGAAAACTGGGTGAGGAGACAGCTTTGTCCATTATCTTATAGGAGGGTCGTTGGATGTTATTATAAAATTGAGGTTTCTGATGTAGGAAGTCACAATTATTGCCTTTTTTACAGAATTTTCTTTTCCTCAGGAATGGACACGGGGTTAAATGTTTTGGGCGTTTAGGTGTCATTCGGTTAAAACGTTTAGGTGTCATTCGGTTATTAATTGATGCTAATCCTTAGCATCAATTAATAAAAATACATAAATCAACTACTATAACTATATTATTTAATATGATATTTGCGATGTTACTCTGAGTGTATATCCACACCGGGCGAGCTTGAAAAATATGCCCGGCCACGGTGGGATTCGAACCTACGACTTTTGGAATACTAGCCCAATGCTCTTCCAAATGATCTACGCGGTCAGGATATACACTCAGAGTAACATCGCAAATATCATATTCACCTGAGTACACAGCATCAACACAGAAATTTAAGTTTAAGTGCAGCCAAGAGGACAGTAAAATAGCAATTTTGATTTGTAGAATTTTCAGACACTAAAAAATTGGTGGGTCATAAATTTTGAGGTCAGACAAAGTGATACATATAGGTTGCACGGTTGACTATCCTGTGCTTAAAAAAACTCATGTAGAGTTTAATTGGTTTTCTCCCATACTTTGATGATTTCAGTTTTTCGATTTCGTTCCTCACTGAAAGCTAACGCGTAAGCCTTAGTTGTTTAGCACCTGTATAAATGGACATTAAAGGACATTGGGAACCAACATTTTTATTGCTTCATCTGAAAGAGCATGAAAAAAGAAGCCGGTTGGCCGTTTAATGCTCTATTCTATCTCATCTAGTTCCGAAGTTATACACGCAAAAATGTGCAAAATATTAATTGCTGATTCAGCACAACGTGTGACGTCGTTAGTTGGGTAAGTATGTTTATTTATTGAATAGTAAACTAAAGCATAGCTAAGTTATTATTGGCTCAAATCAAATGAAATTTTTCATACAGATAATACATGATGAGGCGCATGGGAAAATTCTTCCAATTTTGTTGTCAAGGCAACACAGTCGTTCCCAGGCCCCTTACACTGTTTTGAATAACTAGTTGCATTTATCTATGTGTATGTCATTTTCGAATTATTATCATGCAAGTAAACTTTTGGCATGCATAGGTATGGTACACATACTTCTGATATTATTTTAACCTTATCAGTACCATGAATAAAGCTGTTTTATAAAATTGGCGCAAGGGGCCCGGAAACGACATTATTACCTTGGCAACATAATGAGAAGCGTTTTTCAATGCGTCTCATCATGTACAATCAGTATGCAAAATTTCATTTGATTTGGGCCCATAATAACTGAGCTTAGAGCTATGCTTCAGTTTACTATTCAATAAACATACTTACCCAACTAATGACGTCACACGTTGTGCTGAATCAGCAATTTATATTTTGCACATTTTTGAGTATAACTTCGGAACCAAATGAGATAGAATAGAGCATTAAACGGCCAACCGGCTTATTTTTTCATTCCCTTTCAGATGAAGCAATAAAATTTTGGTTGCCAATGTTCTTTAATTAACTAAATCATCATTATCAACATTCTTCAACATTTTAAACAAACAGGTCTGACTGGCAGAAAACGAGCAATGCGCACAAGTATAATACGTTTTTCCAGAACCACCGTAGTGTAATGCTTTCCACTCCATATCGACCAAGAAATCTATTGGATCTACGTAATCAGCCTGGATGCGTTTGTGTAGAATATGTAGACCCAAAAAACAGTGCATACAAAGCAGTTAAAGGTTTGTAACGTTCTTACTAAAGTAAACTAACATCAATTATACTGGATAGCTCTATCAATTTCAAAATTTTCTTTCCGGTGGTCGTATCAACTCTATTTAACGACGGTATACAGCCAATTCAAAGAAGCTTGTCCTTTACAAACCTTAAACTTTAAACCTTAAACCTTAAACTCTAAGCGCGCAAAGCTCAATGGGAGCACAGTTTCAAGCTTAGTAATTAAATAATGCAGCTATTTGCGAATGAATTGTTTTCGTAAGGAGAAATTCACATTTTCCCTAAGAAAAGGACCCCATTTAAGTTTTACAGTTTAAGGTTTGCAAGGGACAACCTTTTTCGAATTAGCTGTATACTAAATAAACAATGAAACAGCAAAACTTATAAACTAGTGGCCCTCGATCTTTAAGAAGCACAGTTTCGCACTGATATAAGATTGAGTTAGTTTAGTTAATTAAAGGTGTCCTTAATGAGGAGAGATCTTTACTAGACTTTTATAGGAAGATACTAATCATAAAAGGGGTTTGATATCAATTGGGACGCAAGTTCTGTTTCAGACTCCTGTCACTAGTACTAATGTAAATGTGACAAATTCATTAAACCTAAACCATGTTGGAGTTTCCCACTCGCTAATAAACGCTTAAAACACAACAATAACTTTCATCATTTGAATACTATGAAAATGTATTTGGAATAGGTTTAACGTAATGTTTAAGTTCCCTGTTTAGCAAACAGAAAACATACGACCGTAGGTCTAATTAGTGCTAAGTTTGATTATCAGGTAATCATTTATTTAGAATTATGATGATGTATTTAGGGGGAACTTTCTTTTTTTGAGGTGTTTAGTTAATGCCGTTTACTTTATTAATGTACTAATTCTTGGGTTTCAATCACGTGATATTTTAGCATAATTATACCCAAGTTGCAGTAAATCATTGATAGCTGTCAACGCATCTTATGTCAACGAGATCTCCGTCTATCATAAAAGCCAATATAAAAGAATATAAACAATATACTGTACAAGCCATCCTTTACCCTGGCTACAAACTCTTGACGCACACGTGACGTCATATGAAACCCGAGAGTTAACCCTGGACCTCTAATTAATTAAAACAGTTTAGAAGTGAAGAACTGATAAAGTTATCCAGTTTAATAAAAACTAATAAATATAAATTTAATTTAGTTTAAACCTAATATTTCTATAATTTATGCCATTATAATTAGGCTTATCAAAGAGCCAACTACGAAGCATTCCACGTTTGCCACTACCCGAGACCTCAGCTAACGCAGTGCGGTTATTCAAGATCTCGGCCAGAGAACTTGCGCTTGTTTCAAGACTCTGGAAGAAGTTCCAACCGAAACGGTCATTACGGAGAAGTGCTTTAAGAGGTCGCAATGCAAAGCTGGGCTTCATGATTGGTGACGTCATGAGAGCTAAAGGTATTAAATTTAGTTATCATTTCTAGGCAATATTTTTAAGTTCTTGCTGCTGTATATTAAGCTGTTAATGCTCAGGGAACCGTAAAAACCATCTAACCACGGGAGAAAACCAGCCAAGCTCTACTTATATGAGTTTTTAAGCACAATCTAAGTAAACTCATGCCCTCGGCCTATAGTATCAGGTTTAACGCAGAGCTAAGTGGCAGCACGTCAGCACGATAATCATATAACTGCTCTGCGGGGCTAGTGAGTTTCACATATACCTTGAGTAAGGACTCGTGTCCAAAAAGCGAAGCCATGCAAAGATGGCGGAAATTGACGTCCAAGGAGAGTGCCAGAATTTTGTGTTTTGACTAATAATATTTTGGTTTTATGACTGACTACTGAGAGCATGATTAGCGATACAATCCGTTAGAAAAAACTGGAATTAGAAAACTGCATAAATTTTAAGTATCGAATCCTAAAAGATCAACATGTGTCTATAAATAAAAATTCAATACAAACTAACATGCTCCCGTACATAATCACTTTCTTTTTGAGAAATGGACACGGTCTCGTGTAACTCTCACTTTAAGACCCTTCTCAACTCTTTACTGTTTCTACATAACAAACTTCTACAGTATCATATAAGCTGCCGTGGTTTTTTTCTGAACTACAAAAAAAAAGATCGCAAACGTGAAGGTCGAATGTAGGTAGTATTAGTTTACAGTAGGCTGCCGTGGTTTGTATCTACGCAGAGAACCCTGAACCTGTACGCTTATGATGCGTTATATAAACATTGGGAAAACCGAAATTTAATACAAAACTGAGAAAATGCTACGCTACGTACGTTAAGATACGGTTGAAGTGGAAAACAGCCTTAACCCTTCCTCGAGTTCGGTTTGGAACCCAGGTGTTAGCTGTTTTGGTGGGAACAAAGTGCCAGGGAGAAGCTGTTTCAACACAGATATCCGTTTAGACAGGGGGTGCATGGTCACTTCCAGCTGGCGGCGGGGGAGGTTGCTCTGGGCGAAACTGTTCAGAATCTGATATCGTCAAATTCCAACCCAGCTAGCAGACGTTTTCAATTTCGAACAAATGTCGCGAATCCAGTTCTGCGATATTGTTCATTGCCGTATTGACGCACAACTGTATATGCATGTGCACTACTGATTCCGCAACAGCTCCCGAGTTTTTCCTGCATTATGGCTTCGTTGATAAGATCTGGTGGGATTGGTAGAAACATAACAACGCGCACAAGTTTAATAGATATTTCCTCACGCAAGCTGGGCTAATGACATCCATACGATATCAATCCAAAGATTTCTTGATTTGAATAACCAAGATTGGTTACGTGTCAGTGTTCCGAGTACTAATGCTTTTGGACGAATGAAAGATTTGTCACTAGATAGTAGTGAGTTCGGCAGTGGTGTAATGGTATCGGAACCTGGGTACCTAGTTCCCAGCGATCTTTTGGGATGTACATAGTTTTGGAGAAATTTTTAACGGCAATCGTGCGACGCTGTTTAGTTGACTAACTGGCATATTGAGTTATTGCAGACTGTCAGAGACGTAGCGCCGGATTGGAAGGTGTGGGAGGTGTAACACCCTTCTCCTCCCCCAATATTTGTTCATGAGTAATTTCAGGTAAATTTCTAGGTAATTGAAGCTGATTATCAGATAAACTATAAGACAACACAAGCTAAGAATGCTAAATTTTAGTTGCATTTTTGGGCTTTCTGAGGGTTCAATCTTCACAGACATATTATGTTTGCTAGCTAATTCGGTTAAACTTATTGAAATGATTGAATACCTAATTAATCTACCAACTCGATACCTAAATTACAGTGCAACAGTTTCTTCAGAAATATTCATTTTTTTGAAATATTTATTTCAGGTTTTTCAGTTATATTGCTGTCATGTGTTTTTACCCTCTTTAAATAAAGTTGCTCATTCATTCATTTATTCATATACAGCCTGCAAGCAGCAAGAAATTTTTTCAACATGTAATTCTGTAATACTGTAACTACTGTCATGATTACTTTAGGATATATCTTGTCAGTCTTATCAATTTCGAACGTTTTAATTAATAACTGCTTGCGTGGTTATGCGGAGCCGTGAAAACGATGTAAATATAACGTAGCAGTTTGAACAACTACAGCGTAATATAGAATGCGTAAAATGAGTAAAATTCTATTGTTGATAATCATGTCATTTTTGACGTTGCCGTTGTATTTGCTAAACTCACTAGCCACTTTTTAAGGTATAAGGGTCCAATTATCTGGGGCAACTATTAACTACTTTTTAACAATCAGTTAACTTTTACCATGTATAGTTAAGTCGGTTGTATATGCTAATAACGAGAACTAGAAAATACATGCATGCAGAAGCCCTCGCCTTGCTCATGCACAAAACAATGTATTTTCCGAACATGAAGTATTTAAAGTAGTTGTCATGGTAATACAATAATTTTATTAAGAAAACTTTTAAAATAGAAAAATCCTCTACGAATCAATTTCCCAAACATATATATGTTAGGTATGTTATTATTATACGTAATATAAGCTTCAATTAATGTAAAATTCAAACAGAAACGTTTCGCAAAACGCTTTAAAATGTTCTTTATAAAACTAAACTGCCTTTATCGATAAACTTTGAGTTTGAAATAAAATGATTTCAAATTCTCGCATGCAAATAACATTGCTTTTTTATTTAAAAATTCTAATATAATAAAAAAGGGTAACCAATAAAGGTCAACGAAGACACACTGAAATTATGTGCTGTTTTTTTCATTTAAATTATAGGCAACGATCAGCTTATAAAGCATTATAAAGCAAACAATATATTCAATATTTAAAACAAATTTACCTTCGCTAACTTCGGCACTTTTGCTCCCTTCTAGTAGCAATTCTTTCGCCTTTTTTCTCGAAAAACTTTTGAAATTTACAAAATCTTGAAAAAATGAAATATATTTGCAAGAAATCTTCAAATCAAGAAATGTCTGCTATTTCGCTGTCGTCATGCAGTTGTTATATTCCAAATTTTAAATTGAACCAATCAATGTTCGCTATTCATGACAGTCCGCTATATTTTGAGATCAGTGAGAATGACCACCCATGCACAGTAATCCATGTACGCCCGCGATTATTGATGAACTTTAGACTTCGCTGTTGCTTTCCATTTCCCGGAATACCGGGCTAAATAGCCGGGCGGAATTAGTACCCTCACCCCAGGCTTACGCCCGGAACTGCGCTCCGCGCCGTTGGCTCGGGGAAAATGTAGTTAGCGGCTGCAGTTAAAAAGTAGTTAAAATTAACAATGCTCAATCTAGGATATTGTTAACTTCTCAAAAAGTAGTTAAAAATGGCGCTTGTATAGGAATGAACAACATTTTTCAGTAAAACAATAATGAAAAGCAACGTTTCCCTGGGATTTTCAATCTCTATCTTCCCTGTGAATATTTTTGTGTTTGTTTTGATGTTTGTACTCAGGTGAATATACTGTTTCTGACATTACTCTGGACTAGTAGCCCAAAGGTTGCGGGTTCGCTTCCCACCGTGGTCAGGCTTGCTCGGTGTGTAACTCAGAGTGACATAAAAAACATTATTCCCTGTGAATGTTTCCTGACAATAGAAACTCTTCAAAGCTATCGCTTTGGGTGTTTGGCGAAAACAGAATATATTTTTGCACAGGAAGATTTCTCGAAGACGACGTAGAGCCCGGCTATTACACGACAAGACACTGATATTTAGTGATATATAAGTGCCAAATAGGGTACACGTTGATTTGACCTAAGACATCTCACGGAAAACTGTCTTCTTCTTTGATTTTTGCCTTGTTTCTTGTTTGTTTTTCACTATTTTGAACCATATAATTTTGTGTTTAAACGCCCCACGCACAATTAACAACGTGACTAGTTAAGTATCCGACTAAGTACGTTTTGTGCAACGCTGTCATGTAGTTAACCAACTACAGTTAAGCTTTAACTACAGTGATTACGCTGACTGCATGCATGCAGTTAACTTCAACTATAGCTACGTTTTTATATACAACCGCCCCTGATTTTTAAATTTACTTTTCACGTTACCTAAAAGCCGTTTTTGAAATCTAGTGTGTTTTTTCATGAGTGCATTCAAGTAGCTGGTGTTTCTTTCGAAAGAATATATCACCGCAATGTTAATGGGATACGGGTTTAAAACTGTTAGTGAGATTCGAGCAAATCCTCCGCCGAGATAATTTTGAAGATTTCGAAATAATTTTGAGATAATTGTAATTTAAGATTAGATTTTGCATTGAGATAATTTTGAAGATTATGAAGATTTTGAATTGAGAAGATTATAAATATTTTGAAGAGTTTTTTTATTTAAGATTGAGATTTTGAGGAGATAATTTTGAAGATTTCGAGCCCGAAAATGCACTAAAATTTGGCATTCCTAGGTTAGGTTCAATTTTAACTTATACGTCACTGTCAATGCTCTTATAATTTACTTGGAAATCAGCTTTATTTACCTAGAAATGTACCTGCAAATACTCATGAACAAATAATTGGAGGAGAGGGGGTATGTATTGGAGGTTACACCCACAGTCGTTACGTTGCTATATATATAAGCGTCTGCAATAACCCAATAATCGTCTCTAACACTACGTTTAATTTTATTTTCATTTGGTCATGTCAGCTACGGTCAACTAAAGAGTATCGCACAATGACAACCAAGGCTGCCAACTGTTCCATACTTCCTCAGTAGAAATCAAACTAGTTTCCGGACTTTGCGTCAAGATCGAACCCAGACGAACTGTGCATGCCCATGCAAGAGCGCCTTGCATGACTCTGACGCCAAACTTGGCATGAAGTTGAGCGAAGTTAAATCAGGTGACTTTTATTTTCATTTTGGAAATATCTTACAACTAAAGGGCACACGGAAACTACATTCGTCCGCCAGCGAATTAAGTTATGCGTCATGCATAAATTATACTAGAAAATACATGCATGCAGAAACCCTCGCCGTGCTGACAAAACTATT